TTGATGAATATGTTTAAATATCAAGTTTTATATTTATTTGTAAGTTTGTGATTTGTTTGTAACTTTAGTAATTTGAATTGAATAGTTAAATGTGTACAAACCCTGTAAATAACTGACTTGAATAACTACTTCCACCATTACTAATGTTGTGTTGAGAAGCCAAACTGTTGAGAAATAAATCATTTTTGTCTAAATTGTTATCCCCTTACTGCCTGATTTTTTTTGCAGTTATATATATATATATATATATATAGTGGATCTAGATGAAGTAAAATTTAATTTCTAATAAATCATGTAATAAAGATCAGGAAAAAAAGATAGATGACTGAATAAAAATAAATATTTTTGTCTTTTTTTTTCTACAGGTCATAAGAGCCCCAGAGGATGAAGAGCAGGACGACATGCCAGAGGATGAGGAGGGGGAGAACGTGTTGGAGGCAGTCAGTGGTGCTCCATGGAGGGACACGCTGTCTGCCGAGGTGTCTGCCCTGGAGGAGGGTCTACCTGACCACCGTTGCATTTAGATGGCAAGTAGAATCACATTTTAGCAGTTCTTATTTTAGGGTTATAAAAACAGTTTTAGTAAAGTCATTATTTTCTGCGTCTTTTTGAACATTTTTAGTAACATGGCAGCCATCGATTGGATCAGCAGTGGAGAGAGGCACCCCCACCCCCCAGATGATGTCCCACTCGCAGTCAGAAGACTCCAAGGTCATCTGTGTGGCATCGCATCCAGTCCAGCAGCACCACCAGGGACTCCTGCTCAGTCACAATTGTATATATATGTTCTTTAGTAATATTTACTGTATATCTTCTGTAAATAGTTGTAGTAGTTAATTTTAAAATCTAATGTCAATAGTTAAAAATGTTTAATAGTTTATTGTAAATACTTGCTTCTCTAAAAATAAACTGTCACTGAGAAGTTGTTCTAAGTTTGCTTAAATTGTAAAGAAGTGATGAAACAGATCATGTAAAAAGGTTAAAAGACTTTAAGAACACACCGACAGCAAAAACTTTTATAAACAATTTAATAATTTAATTTAATAACAGCAACACAGAACTTCAACTTGTTAAAAAAAAAAAACACCAAAAAAATAATAACATCTGTCCACCATCCTCTCCAATAAATGAAATAATCTGTCCATCCTTTCCCGCCTCCCTCTGCCATCTGATATCCTCCCTGATTAAATCCACCAACTCCTCACTCCTTCTTCTTCTCTTCATCCTTTCCCTCCTCTCTCATCCTCATTCTCTTCCTCATCTTCACCCTGATGCTGCTCAGCCTCTGCAGCATCTAGCCCTGGTGTGTCCTCAGGGATGGAGGCAATTAGGACAGGTGGGGCAACAGAGGGCCTCTGTCCTAATACCTCATCCATGAGGACAAACCAGGGCCAGGTGGCAGCAGTAGGCTACCTGCTGCCCTGGATCTTTTCTTTCCTAAAGTAGAGGAAAACAATTGGTATCAACAGATGCTATTTTCTGTAGAAACATTCCTTTTTTCTAGCTTTAAAGAAACATCTTTAAAGCTAGAAAAAAGGAAGGTTTCATGATTTGGATGGATTGATGAAATTCTACAGAAAAAGACTTTGGAATGGTAACCTGGAGATTACTTTTTCAAGCTTACTCAAAGTGGAAATTAACATGAATATAATAAATGAAAGATGTAATTTCCCTACACACACACATACATACATTATATATATATATATATATATATATATATATATATATATATATATATATATATATATATATATATATATATAGGGGTGTGTGTGTTTCATTACATTATCCAAACCTGAACATACTTTGTATTTTTTTTTTAAGTTGTCCCACACAAGGATCACTTCTATCACAAATAGGAGATTTACAAAAAGTGGCATCTGAGCATCATTTGATGTGATCAAAAGATTATATTTGTACGTTGGTGTTTGAACAGGACTTCTTTTAACTTGTGTGACTTTTACATAGAAATGCAACATGTAGATGGAATTCTGCCTCAACTCTTCCCTCCATCCGCCTGCAGCAGTATCTTTGGCCCCGATGATAAGGTGGTCATTTTATCCACTCCTCTGTCTGCTCCCTGGAACAAAATGACATGTAAAGCATATTTCTGTTAATTCAACAGGCAAAATGACTGTTCTGTATAATTACGCCTGTATTGTTCTTCAAGCGAATTATACTTTAAACCTTATTATACTGTACTGGAAATAAACTATAGGTTATTGAGTATTAAAACAAAATGTTTGCAGTATTAACAGCCCAGTACAGCTGGACTAATGTTATTTCTTCAGCTGCATTAAGCTTTAACAGCTCTAATCCTTTGTAATAAACTGTTTGGGAATAAAATTATCTGATTAGTGAGGGATACGGCTATCAGTACAGTAAGATGTAGGTTAAAATAAAAAATAGTGACATTTGTATGAAGGCTTTTAATTGTTGATGAACATCACGTATCAACAGGTTAGCTCTAAGCTTTAGCTTTATCTGCTCCTACACATTCCGGTGGCTCCGTTACCGTCATGTATTTTAATAGATGTTAATAAAAAAAAAAAAAAAAAAACTACTTACATTTAAAGGTGTTCTCCCCACTACTGTCGGCGCTGCTGCTGCTTTCGGTTGTCCGTAACTTGAAGAAAATCCGACTTTCTTCTTCTTCTTCTTCTTCAACTACAAAAAAAAAAAAAAAAAAAAGAAGCGCGCAAAGCACCTCGGGAAATCTAGTGGGAGGCGAGGCCACTAAGGATGGTAGCGATGCATCCTCAGAATTCGGGGAAAAGGAGAACGCATTTTGAGGCTGCATTTTAAGCGTCCTCAGAATTTTTGCCAAATGGGACGGCCTCCGCGCAGCATTGTGACGTCACCGGCCTCAAAATGCGTACTATCAAGTACGCAGCCTGCGAATTGAGACGCAGCCATTGTCTAAGATGGACTGAAACCTGGACAGCATCCTCCTCTCTGCCACGGTGGTCAGAGTGTCCAGCTGCTCCCCTACTGCCCTCCTGATCAGTTTGTTCAGTCTGTTGTTTTCAGCGACACTCAACCCACTGCCCCAGCATGTGACAGTGAAGAAAAGCGTGCTAGCAACAACAGACCCATAAAACATCCTCAGCATCGCCCCACAGATGTTAAAGGACTTCAGCCTCCTCAGGAAGAATAGTCGGCTTTGGCCCTTTTTGTGTTTCTAGTCCAGTCCAACTTATTGTTAAAGTACACTCCCAGGTACTTATACTCCTCCACAGTGTCAACAGGAACTCCCTGGATGGAAACAGGTGTCACAGGTGTTTTTGTCCTCCTCAGATCCACTATTAGCTCCTTAGTCTTTGTCACGTTGAACTGTAGGTGGTTCAGCTCACTCCAAGTGACAAAGTTGCCCACCACGGTCCTGTGTTCACTCTCCTCACCCTTCTCAATTCAGCCAACAATTGCTGAGTCATCAGAAAACTTCTGAAGGTGGCAGGACTCAGAGCAATAGTTGCAGTCTGAGGTGAAAAGGGTGAAGAGGAAGGGGGAGAGGACAGTCCCCTGAGGCGCCCCAGTGTTGCTGACCACCCTGTCAGACACACAGGTTTGTAGGCGTACATACTGTGGTCTGCCCGTCAGGTAATCAACAATCCAGGACACAATGGGGGCTTGAAGGCACTGGAGAAATCAAAGAACATGATTCTCACTGTGCTCGCCAGCTTGTCCAGATGATTGTAGACTATTCAGCAGGAAGATGATGCTGTCCTCAACTCCCAGGCGGGGCTGGTAGGCGAACTGTAGTGGATCAGTGAAGGGCCTGACCATGGGCCTTAGCTGCTCCAGGACTAGCCTCTCAAAGGTCTTCATGATATGGGACGTCAGTGCTACCGGTCTGTAGTCCTGAGGGTCGCTAGGGCGCGACGTCCTTGGCACAGGAACGAGGCAGGACGTCTTCCACAGCATGGGGAGTCTGTGGAGGAGCATGCTCAGGCTGAAGATTAGGCTGATGAGCACACAAATCTTTCTAGGTTTAAAAACTACTTGTGGTATGAAACTTCTACAAGTTTTTGTGGATTTTTTAAAGACTCACCTGACATGGTTTGATATACTATTTATTTCTACTATTAACTATTACTAGTAGATTATCTATTACTACAGTAGTAGATGCTAGTACTATTAACCCCTAAATCTACTTTTTTTTTTTTTTATAAAAAACTACGGCATTATTTTGCCTGGGACATTTGCTGTTTTGCTGCTTTTATTTTTGAAACCATCGACATAATAAAGAGTAGATGACTCATAGGCCTCAATTACTTACAGGCGTTGTAGCCACAGGCGTACCATCATTGGAAGGTTGCCCACAACATTATGTAATTCTGTTTGGCAGGCGCAATTAGGTATCAGCATATTAAATGAATCACTGCCCGCAGAAAAATAAATGAAAAAAAATAAATGAATAAAAAAACTCAACTTTATTGATCTTACATTGGATTTCTGTCACCTTTACGGACTCAACTCATTGTAGAGGAAAAGCATCTCTACTTCAAGCCAAATGGCCCATCCCTGAATTACTTTTCATCTGTTGGAAAGCATCCCTCAGGGTTTTAACCCCCCTCCCTCTTGTTGGCTTGGTTGTACACTGCATTATAGATTGAAGAGAGATGAAAAATGGTGTGGATGAGGGAAAAACAAAAGAACAAAAAAGAAAACAGAGGTTAGCTCTTCTCTGCTCATGTTTTCCATATTTTTGTGTCAAATAAATGAAACCCTCAGTCGTCATAATGATGCAGTTCAAAAAAGCACAGCAAAAACAATAAGCTTACCCTCCTACTGAGTTGAATCTGTAGTTATGAGGAATAGAAGCATACTACAGCTGTTCCACCTGCTTAATAAACACCCCCCTCTGCAACTGGCTGCTGGACTTCCTCACTGACAGAACCCAGGCTGTCAGAGTGGGGAACAACACCTCCGACGTCATCACCCTGCACACCGGCACCCCCCAGGGCTGTGTCCTGAGCCCCCTGCTGTTCACCCAGATGACCAACGACTGCCGTCCACGCCTCAGGTCCAACCACATCCTGAAGTACGCGGACGACACCACAGTAGTTGACCTCATCCGGGACAACAACGAGGCGGCCTACAGGGAGGAGGTGCGGCATCTGGTGGACTGGTGCAGAGGGAACAACCTGATCCTGAACGTCAAAAAGACCAAGGAGATTATCATCGACTTCAGGAAATCCAGACCCACCCACACACCCCTCCTCATCAACGACTCAGCTGTGGAGGTCGTCAGCAGCACCAAGTTCCTAGGGGTGCACATCACTGACAACCTCAGCTGGTCACCCCACATCTTCTCACTGATGAAGAAGGGCCAACAGCGCCTGCACTTCCTGAGTCGGATGAAGAGAGCATCCCTCCCGCCCCCCATCCTTCAAACCTTCTACAGAGGGACCATCGAGAGCCCTCTGACCAGCTACATCTCCATCTGGTCTGGGAGCTGCAGGGCCTCTGACTGGAAGTCTCTACAGAGGGTGTTGAGGACAGGGGAGAAGATCACCGGGGCGCCGCTCCCCTGCATCAAGAACATCACGGACAGGCGCTCCCCAGATCCTCACCGACCCCAACCACCCCAACCATGGACTGTTTTTCCCCCTGGCGTCCGGCAGAAGGTTCCGCAGCATCTTCTGCAGAAGGACCAGACTACTGAACAGTTTCTTCCCCCTGGCCATCACACTCTTAACGCCACATAACACTCATCCACCAGCCCCCACCCCACCCCACACACACACAATAAAACCACCCCCCATGGACATGGACAATACATGCACCTTAGTTTAGTTTTATCTTCAACTTAATGTTTCTTTTTGCAATAACTCAGTGCAATATTTATTGATGTTTCTTCTTCAATAACTCAGTGCAATATATATGTATAAATATACTTCTTTACCCTGTATATAGCTAGCTCTTAGTTATAGAAAACATATTTATTGTGCAGGAATAAGATCTTAGCTCTATTACACTGGTAGCCAATAACCGACATTTCGTTGTCAAGATTCACCTTGTGTTTCTTTGTGCAATGACAATAAAGGAAGTCTAAGTCTAAGTTAATGATCTTCCGCTGTTATCATTCCCGTGATATCCAGTCTCGATCACATAAGGCAGCTATATAAAAGTTAGAGTTATTGTTGCTTCAAAGGATAATCCACAAATTATTTAATTTAAATATATATTGTGTTGTACGTTTAATAAAAACAGTAAACTAAATGAACAATTAAAAAGAACAGACTGGCTTAGAAGATTAAAAGTAACTTTAGACAGGTTATAGCCTCCACTCATCCAGATCTTTGTGAATAGCATTAGCATTGAGGGGGGTGTTAAATAAGATAGGCAAATCCTACAGATTTTAAGAGTGCAGCCTCATATCCAAGCTGTTCATGCTGAGAGAAGATAATGAGAAGTGACACTAAAGCCCAATAGGGAAACATGCTTTCATTAACTTATCCCAAACTCTCCCTGTGGGGTTGTTTGCATCCCTCATGTATTTTATACCTTTGAGATTTTAGAATAAATAGAGAGCCTAGGCAAGGCCACCGTGGTGCTGAAAACAAACATGATGGGAAGTGTGTATGTGGGATTCCCATAAAAGAGCAACATCTCTATCTATCAGTTAAAGTCATAAAGTTCAGTTGGTCACACAAAAAGTCTTTTAGACAAATAGAGATGTTAATCCCTGACAGTGGCCCACCTAGCATGTTAAGACACTTTCTTATTTTCTTATTTCTGGCACATCACTTCACTGACTCAAAGATTGAAGCTAAACAGGGTGTATTAACTATTATTTTGAGATAAACTTATATAGAGATTTTCTATTAAGAGTTCTAATGGCTTTCAGAAATCTCCACACCTCTTTGAGTGTAATTGATTTGGTTTTCTGTGACCGTCGAGTAATATAGCAAAGATTCATACATATCTGTCGACAAATAGTTATCCAACCCACAAATATGGTCCTTACGTGGGAAGTGTCAATATCGCTGAAAGAAACCCAAAATCATAAAAAATTTTTGGTTTCCCTCAAGTCATATTAGGAATGCAGCCTTAGTGAAAAGAAAATGCTCTGACCAGATTCAATAAAAAGGAAAGTTTTGCTGTTGCAGATAACTATCAACTCATAACTCTATGATTATGTGCCTACTATTAAAAATAAGGATGGTAGGGCCATGCTTTGGGGATAATTTTCTGATGAGAAATTGAATGTGTCTACTTTCAAGGAAATCAGAATCAGATTTATTGCCAAGTAAATTTGCACTTCAAAGGAATTTGACTTGGTGTTGATGGTGCCGACAAATTCGATATATATACAGAATATGTAGCTATATACAATATAAAACATACAATATACTATATACAATATACAGTATATGGCCACATACTATATACTATATACAGTAGACTGTGCGTTAATGTAATGCAGGAGGTCTGGAGATCCTACATTAGTGTAGCTTCTAGGTCCTGAATGGGGGAGGGAGAGGCAATGTCAGTATCAAGGGGGTCTCTGGGTATGGTTGATAAGGCTGGTAGCAGATGGGAAGAAATCATGGAAGAAAACTCTTTATAGGCAGTAGAGGAAATTACCAGGGAATGAGTTTAACTTTGGAGAACAAATGAGCTTTAACTTGAAGCCAAAGATATGACTGGATGGCTTTTTATCTGGCACTACACCTCAAAATTGACAGAGATTAAGCAATTTTGCAAAGAAAAATTGGAAAAGATGTAATTCTCTAGATCAGGCATCCCCAAACTCGGTTCTCGAGGGCCACTGTCCTGCAGGTTTTAGAGGTTTCCTTGCTCCAGCACAGCTGATTTTAATAGAAAGCTGATTAACAGGCTTCTGCGCTACTGCAATCATGATAATCAGCTGTGCTAAAGCAGAGAAACCGAGTTTGGGGATGTCTGCTCTAGATCATTCACAGCTATAATTAAAGGGATGAGAAAAGCCTTAGCCTTGTTATAAATAAGCACATGGAAGCCAGATTCAGCCAAACTACCACTCAGTACTCCAGTCTTTCATTAGGGACTCCTGGGAGGTGATCTGAAAATCCAAAATAGTGTTTACAGTGAGTTTCTGCTTCCAGCATAGCATGACCCTACGCATTCAAAACTCACTCCAAGCAGTCTTCCATATTGGCAACAAAAGATGATTTCAAATAAAAAAAAGTCAAAATCCATCTTGAATATTATAACTGCATGTTTATAATAAATCTTTATTTACTGTGAGTTTTTGATAAGATTAATTTAGAAATAAACACAGCTGCTCTGGTTATTAATACAGTACTGGAAGTTCATGATTTATATGACACTTATATGACAACTATACGACCAAGATGAATTTCTAAATTTACTAAAACTTTTTCTCAATGACTGCTATAGGATCTAAAATAAGCAAACAAGCTTTATGGATTTTCAATTAAAATCTGTTTCATTCGTTTGGTATGTTTTGTAATCTTAATGCTGCAGACACCACTGTAGCTCTAAGATAGTAGTGCCAAAAAAGGGTTTTGGACTGAAGCACATGCAGAAAAGGTTGAGCAATGAGCAGGAGAGACCAGAGCCAGAGCTGTCTGATCTTCAAACATTAATGGATATAAAATGCAGACTTGGCTGTTGTAAGCAGAGTGAATTTTCCTGAATACTTAAAATCTCCTGTTGAGGCCACTGCAATAACTATGTGGACGATTAAAGTACTGAGTACCCATACGGAAGCATATCTCCTTCTCAGTGGATTCTTCACATGAGCTGAATTCCCGAACATCTAAGGAAGCATAACTAGGAACAAATGAATAATTACAGCTCATTTCTTTGCTAATGTTCATGCATATCCATAAAAGTTAAGCGCTATGTTTCCTGCCGAGGTCTGAGCGCCAAAGAGCAAGTAATTGTAGAAATAAATGTCTTCTAATTGTCTTTTCTCTTCGTGTGAGTATTTCAGATTAAATTGTTGGAATTATTAGAATCCAGTGTAATTATACACGATTAGATGTGGTTCATTATTTGTTTTTGTTTTTTTTGCCTCCTTTTTTTGTAGATTCTTTCTGAAAAATAAATCTAGATGGAACATACAATTGAAACAGTAAATTCCAAACTAAATCATTTTTCTTTTATTTTAGGCATGCAAAGAATTGCTAACATCAAACAGAACAAGGTGGATGAAGTCAAAGTGGTAAAAATAGGTTATTTTCCTTCCTTTTTCAGTGCTCTATGTCCAAGTCAAGGCAAATAATTGACATTTACAAGAAAAAATTATGGAGTTAAAATGTTAGTAATGAAGGTAGGTAAATTCATGAGTATGACAGATACTATTTGCACTTTACTACAGTGCTAGTTATGTTAGTTATTAGTATGCTGACCATACAGTGGTTAGTCCGTTTGTTAATTTACAATAACAAGAGCAAGTCACTGTTAAGTAGCTTTGCAAACAATTTGGAGGTGTATGCGTGTTCCGGGAATGTTATCAATGCTAAAGAATAATACATACCATTTGATACTTGATATACTGCACAGCTAACACCACCTGTTATTATGTTTTAATCAGAATAAAGACAATTGCATTAATGGTTTAGGTGCACAAAATTGGCAAACTGAAAAAATTATTCCTACACTGTGATTGTAGCTTTAAAGGCCTGTTATTTTTGCATCATGATTTCCCGCCTGACATTTTCAATTTTGTTTTCCTAATTTAAAAAATCAGTTAGTTTGAAACTTTCAAATTAAATACAGAAAAGATTCCTCATCACAAGATGTAAAGCTAGAGCTTGTTAGTTTAGTCTAGGTAAATTGTTAGTTTAGCGTAGCTAAAAAAAAACTAAGTGGGTTCCTTCAAATGTATGTCCTTTGCTCAAAACAACACAAAAAAACTATGAAACTTCTATATTATAAGCTTTAATACTCTTGCTGCTACCAAGTCTTATTTAAATTAATATCCATCCAGCTTCTGTGCCCACATAATCCCATTGAGGGACAGGAAATTACTAACCTTGAGCAAAAAGTCGGATTGCCGCAAGATCCGAGAGTTTTCAGTCTCACAACAAATCCATCTTAAAAGACTCCTGCTAATACGTTCTCTTTCAACGCCCAGTGGGTCGGACCAATGATATGCCTGCAGTATTTTTTGGGGCGGGACATGTAGGAATAACAACAGTTAGTAGAGACTTGCTGGGGCCTTACAAACATGGCCTGTTGACTCGGTTTTTACCCAGAATAACAACTATTTCTCATTTAAGAAAGGAGCAAAGAGAAGTACTTTGTGCATTTGTAGATGGGAAAGATTTGTGTGTGTGTATGTCCTTTGGTAGCTCTCATGGACGACCAAGTTCCAAAAGCTATTAAGTCTGAAACGCCACGATTCGCTGCTACGATTGACTGAAAGTGTATTATGGAAGGCGAGTACTAGCTGGCACGTCACTCAATCTGCTCGAAGTATTGTACTAAATGTCTCTCCTTTTCATGGACAGACTGAACGGCAGCCATCCTAGATTGTTTCCATTGAACTGCCAGGTTAGGAAAAAAATTCAGTGGATAAGAGGCTGGGGTTACAAACATTTCCCTTGGTGGATGTAAGCCAGTCCCGTTATAGTCTGATATAATTACTGTTAGAGAAACTACAAACATAGCTTGTCGAAAAATGGTCATCAGCCGGATAAAATGTCTGGCTTTCAAACAGAAATAAGTGTCTTGATCAACAGGAGTCTCCTGTATCCAGAAACAAGAAACATTGGGGGAGGGTAGGCCTTGTAGTTAGAGAGCGAGTCCTTTAGCTAAAATGCACTCAACAGCCCACTGATCCCAAACGGATAGTTTAATGCAGAGGAAACATCTTTTCTATTTTTTTTTATTGTTTTCAGCAAGCTGGAGTTGTTCATGTGAAGAGGACATTTTTATGTTTAACAGTCAACTAGCACAACAACTGAAGAATACATTTTCTAAAAGTCTAAAACAATTATGTTAGTATCTCAAGCATTCCTTTCAACTATGTAAAACATCAACTCAATTAAAGATGAGGGGAATACCAATGCTCAACCCTTTTTTTTAAATAGTAAAATATGTTTTCCATAGTTGAAATACATCAAAATCGACTAAAAAATATTAGTATTTAAAATAATCCAAAATACACTTGCTAGGATTAAACAGTGCAGATGAGCAATAAAGCACATTTAATAATTTATTATTTTAACGTATGATCACCACAGATCTAATACTAAATTGCAGCATTTCCACATGACCAAAATTGATAACACATTTTCGCTTCACTTTAAAAAAGACATTTGGCTTGTAGACGTTATTTTCAACTTCCAAGGCTGACTTTCACTGCCATGTAGAAGAAAGTAAAAACAGATAAAAATGTAAGAACAAAATGCACATACATATTTAAATTTATCATGCTTAATTGTCACCATCAAATCATTCGTTCACAATACTGGGAAGAGACTACAAATCAAGGTGCAAATAAACAATCATACAGGAATGAATAGCAGTAAATCTTTTTTGTTTGTTTGTTTGTTTGTTTTGGAACTTCATAGTTTGACCTAACTTTGTATGATTCACAATAAAAGTAAAATGTGCACAAAATATGCAGTTTTCAACTCCACATAAAAGAAAATCAGACACACATGCTCAACATTAGATACACATTATTCTTTAAATTAAAAAAGAATTCTATTTTATTCCTCACTACTGTGACTGAGCTCTATTGGTTATATAGTTGTTGCATTTCAGTTTAACAGGAAGTGGCAGATAACACTGTGTAATCTGCCAAAATCAAAATTATGTTCAAGGAAATGTTTTATATCAAATTGTATCCAATGACAGCTTGATCACTGCAAAAAAATGAAATCTAAAGTCATTCTCTCTTAAAATAAGAGCATTTTCTATACTGAGGAGGTACACTGTAAATCCAAACAATGTCCTGACTAAAGATGAATAGTGTATTTGACTTAATCTATACTAGTTTTTAAACTTTACTTTACTAAGTTATATGAACTTGATTTTTCTGAGTAGATAACATGGTTTGTTGTATAAGACTTAGTTTACACTGCTGTGCACCCCAATGCACATGTCAATTTATGTTTGTTTTTTTATCGGTCTGAGAACATTTACCACTTGAGGTACAGTCAACAAAGGTCACGCTTATGGCCACGATGCTCTCATGGAAAAGTTGGCTCTAACGCTGGTTTCGGAAAGCAAAGCTTTTGTTTTTAACCTTATCAATATAATTTATTGTTTGAAATAACGCACTCTCTTCGACTTTTTTGTTAGTATGTTAGCCAGTGTACGTCTGCTGTTACAATGATCATATGTGCTGGTGTTGTTTTGGAGATATAAGTCTTAATTTTAGCCAATGACATCCCTGTTGAGTTATTTCTAGATAGTTTTCGCAGTGATGCATTTTGTGGGACAATGCCTAAAGAATAAATATCACCATGTTTTAGGCTTAAACTCGACAATGAAGTGTATAATATATTGTTCTTGTAAGAGTGAGTTGGAATCAGTTATAGATAAAAAGTTGAGCCAATAAGTAATTATTTCAAAAAATACCAGTTTTGCATGGACAAAAACTCAAGATCTTGATGTCACAATTTCTTCTCTGAATGTCATTTTATTGTGTCTAAATGTCACAATGTAACATATGTTTTTGGCAATCTTTGGTTGTGTGCCTGACTAGACATTGGATGATGAAATAAATATTCCTATTGAGAACTGGCTACGCAAAAGACAATGCATGGTAATATGTAGCCTTTTATGCGGCAGCAGCATGTTGACAAAATAAAAAAACTTCTATAAAGTTTAAGGGCAGGATGTAGCTACCCTCAAAAATTTTGCTAACTTGCTTAAATCTAAAGCTTTGAAGACTGAAAAACAGGTGTTCCTGACTAAATCCCACTACTAACAGTAGTGAAAAAACATAAAAGGAATTCTTCTTTAGAATAATCTAAAAGGCACTGGACCTTATTCAGCTTTACAGACAGAATGGATAAGAACATAGATCACTAACTTACAAAACATGTTTGGTACCTCTAGTAGAGATGACTATAGTTCACAATCTGCATTCCTCATGCAGTTTTTCAGGGTTGCACCATTAAAAGTAGGGCACAATAACATATATGACATGACTCTTTACTGAAAAACAAATCACCCTCAAATAAACAATGTTTCCCCATCTGCAGAGCTTTCAAGTACAAAAAAAAACATCTAAAAAGTGTTGGCTTCAAATGTAATGCTTTTCCTGATACAAAAAAAAGCCAAAAAATAAAATAAACAAAACAATACTGAATCATATCAAAAGAAAAGTACAGGGAAAAAGTCTCACCTGTCCTCAAAAAGATATCTTACATTTAAATGGGCAAGCAACACTGACTAAAAGCCCACTTTGTGTCATAGAGTCCTCTTTGTCTTTCATTGCCTCTTTTTATATCCGCGTCTCCTCATTTCAGAGCACAAGTAGCCTGAGGACTGGTCCGGAGTGTATCAAAGAGTCCACTGTTTCCCCAGGCTTGGCACTTGACAAGTACAGTCCAGCTACTAAGAGATTACTTCCAGCAGATTCTCTGCAGAAGTGGGTTAAGTTGTGATCCTAAACTCTTTGTGTTGTACCAAAAAGTAAAAAAATTATTAGATTCAAGTCAAAGCTTAGATACCCATTTGTTCACATTTATTTTGGTAGATTATTTTCGTAGTCTTGAACTAGCAACAGAATTCACTTTAAAACCCCAAAGAACTAAATTCACATTTGGCAAACAAAAACATGAAGTACAACGGCAGATTTCCCCTTTTAGATCAAAGGTTAAAAATGCAACTTGGATAAACATTCTAAGGGATAGAGTTTGAACAACTCTTGTCTTGTACTAGAACTGTATTTCAGACCAAAGATAATGTCAAACAGGCATGTAGTTCATGCCTGTTTGACATTATCAATATCATATCACTGAAAACATGTTTTCACCACCATGCTCCAAAAAATTGCACTTGATTCAAGTTGCTAGCTTTCGTGAAACCATTTTCTCTCAGTGTATATTATTATTCCCTTGTGGTATTTTGCTTCTTCATTCTTCTTACATTAGAAACTGGGATGGGGATCTGATCCAGCTACCATATGTGTTGGTCAAAGGGAAAGTCCATCCCTCATCCCCTTTACACAGCTGAGGTTTCCCACTGAAACACACAAACATTCACACACACTGCTCCATAAACAAGGGCAGATGTCTGACAAGTTTTGGGAATGTATGCAAATTCTTGCTTGTGTGTTGGTCAGGGAATAGACATTCTTATGATATTTGAGTATTAAACTCGAGAAAAGCAGGGAAAGTCTTCTCAGCATAGGTGCAATGCAGGCAACTCCAAAGTAAATATGCAAAAATAATACCTTTATTCTGACAAGTGGCCGATTTTTTTGCTATCAAGACTTTCTGATGACCATTACCTTGCTGTAATAAGCGAGTCCTTCAAGTCCTCTAAATCCCTTAATGTTGAGGAGGACAGTGTCCTACCCTCATGCGTAAAGCGCCACTTTTGTGTAGCTGCCAAAGCTTGACAAACTCCTCTGGCATGGCATGGAACCATTTATCTGGAAGAATGTTGTCATAATAATGGTGGCTGATGGGTTTCTCTTGAAGGTCAACGGAGAATGGCCAAAACCCATAAGCTGTCACCTCGTCACACAGTCCGAGAGCCAAGGTGACCAGGAAGAGCCCCGTAGAGAGGCGTTTGCCATGAACACCGCGGGATTTCCAGAATTTACTCACGCTGTGCAGAAAATCTGGGTTTGCAAAGAGCATTGTGAGGTTGGAGGAGGAGTCTGCGAGGGCGTAGTAGGCCCGTAGCGACGGGTCGGTACCTGGTTTCATGGAAAATGCTGGCATATAGATGAAGCTGGAGCCATATGCCTTCATAATATCCACAAAGGATTTTCTGGACCACAGAAGGTTCTGGAATCTGAGGAAGAACAAGGAGACTGGCTCTAAGTACATGAGTGCAATGAGTAACATCACTATGGGCCGGATTTATCAAGATCCAATTTTGCGTGCAGTAATTTGCGCTCGCAAACTGGAATTTTGCGCGAGGGGTTGAACCATGGTTTGCGGGTGATTTAACAAGAATGATTGCGTAACTGGTGGAAGGTGCAAAACTGTTGGAGACGCCCTATTTAAATGATGGTTTTGCGCGTTTTGTGGTTTGTGGCAAAGTAGTTTGTAGTCTGTACAAACTACTAGTGCATTAAGAAATTTAAATCTTACAGTGACCCCCAACAAAAAAAATAAAAAATAAAAAAATAAAAAAAAAATATATATATATATATATAAATTGGCAACCTTTATTCCCTAAGGTGGTATGTGCTGCAGTAAAAAACAAACAAACAGGTGTTTTGTATTGGCCTGTGACTGTGGATGAGATCCCCGCAGCATTTGGCACGTTGCTCCACAGGCTCAGGGGGAGAACCCCAACCCCGTCGGACAGCACTTCTGAAAAAAGGAGATTGGGAGATCCCAGCTCTCGCTGCAACCGTACGCTGGAATGACCCAAATGCAAAAAAGTGCAATGTTGCAAGGAATTTTGTGATATCTGGTATTGCGTGGGTCCTCCTTGTGGCTGGCTCCAAATCCATTCGGAGTTCCCCCAACAGCTCCAAAATGGCAATGCTGGATAAACGATATGTTTTGATGATCGTTTCCTCGTTCATTCCAAAAATATTTACACGGAGTGAAAAAATGCGTTCTCTGCATCTCCTTGCTTCATTTCGATGTCTCCTTCTTGCGACAATAACCGCTGCCATGTGTGCGCAATTACGCATACAGACCATTTGCACCTTCTTTTGAAACGTGTTAAATATAGAGTCAGATAGCGTTAGCAAAATTGCTTTCAGGTTTGATAAATCTCTTTGCGAGTGCTAAATTAATATATTTACATGTTCTCCTCCCACAAGACGCACTTTTGCGTGTAAACGCCCCATATTGCATATTCATTGCAGAAAAAGTACTAAATGGATAAGAGGCGCTATTTAGCACATTTTAAAGACCAAATCCTTTTAGCACGCTGTTGATAGATCAGTTTGTACATTTTTTAGCGTGCCCAGTGAAATAGCTCACGTTTTTATACACGCAAACCTTTGATAGATCCGGCCCTATGTGTGTATAGTAAAACTCGGTATTGCAGACTGACAATTATTTCGCATTTATTTGCTTCTCATACAGAGGCTTTTTAAGCGATCAGGAAGTTGCAACATCAGTTAAAAGTATGCAAGCTCAGGATAACAAATCAAAGAAAAGAGTCTTACAGTTCTTCAATTTGTATGCTTTATTAAAGTCTTTAATTTATGGGAGTGATTTATTTAAGTGGCAGGCAGGCCTAGCACGATTTCGCCAACAGCTCATGGAAAGGACTTATGGAGGAAGTCACAGGAGAACCCAGCATAACATCTAAAATAAGGCAGGTCTTGTTATGATGTTAACAATAGCGGTGCTGGTAATGTACTGAGGTTACTTTGCTGCATAATAATTAATAAAGCTACAAAATCAGCCTTTTGGTAAAAGTTACCAAAGAAGAAAGTCTTTGTCTTTTTGTTTTTTTTTTGCAGCAGGAAAACTTTTGAAGCAAACTAGCAAAAACCCCGGCAGCAAAGTGCTGGGATGCACCTTGTCAGCAGGAAATCTCCATAAAAAGAGGAAGTCTCTCCCCATGTTAGCACTGTACATTTTTCATAATTAAGAAAATACAGAACTTACTATATTTTATTTATACTTAGTATATAGTACCTTCTTTTCTGGCTAGGTTTGTCCGAATTCTTTTCGGCCATTGATGCTCCAGTTTACACAAAAGAGTGAACAAATAGCTCCAAAAAAGTCACAGCAGCAAAAAAGCATAGGAGTACTTCTTCATGCTTTGGTGTAATGGTGGACCGCTAGCCAAACAGCATATGAGTTGCACTTAGAGCCTACATAAATAACATACTGGGGGAAAGTACGCAAAATCTTTGTTCAACAAAGAACTAGCCAATCTTTTGTGACAGTAGACGAAGTAGATTGGCTAATATTTTGTAGGACCCACCATGGCCAGAGTTTATAGATATTATTTTGGGTGGAACCATAAGTGCAAGAACCATCAATTAGGTCATTTTAGATTAATCTGGACTCTTAATTTCTCAGAAAATTTAAAAATCCTAAAACAAATCCAGTATGAAGTTTCTTTACAATGATGTTAACGCAACTGGAGATTTTTTTGTCCATACAGTTAAGTTGTGTATCACTTTTGGCCTGTCATACAGTATTTCAGCCTTATGCAGCCTTTATGTTCTACCTCTGCACCCGATTTGAGAGACTCTTTAAGATCTAATCTCACAAAATAACCAATTACATTCATTCACTCAGAACACAAGGATCCCCATTCACATTCTCAGGATTTAAGCCAGTTATTGATGAGCGGTTTGATTTGCTGTTTTTGAAACGGTTTACCTTTTCTCAATGATGCTTGGGTTGGCAGTGACCAGGTGAGTTTTCGTTCCCACGTCTTCCATATATTTCTTCGTGAGTGGTGGAAGGTTACATCTAAAAGAGTAAAATGGCTCATTGTGAGTGTTAATTGCATATTAATGAACATGAAGTAACGCATTAATAAAAAGTCGCTAAAATGTGTAGCTACAAAATTTAATAAAGACCATATTGAAGAGGATGTGAGCCCAGAGGCTACATTTTTTTAATTTTTAATTTTAAATAGTTATCTCAATCTCACTATGAGAAATGTCTTATATCATACCAACACAGGTTAGTTTTTTAGTCCTTATTCTTTTCACAGCTACTTGATGGTTATTTACACAAAGATTAGCACTGCTCAATATTTGTCGTAGAAGTTATGCACAGCTGGTAATGTGTAAATGTGTAAAATGTAGAGTGCATTAAGAGAATGCCACACTCTATTCCAGATGAAACAGATGAAAGTACTTTGCAAGCTAATGAGAATTTTCATTACTTCTATCATCTTTTTATATCTTCATTCCGATCAGGCATTCAAACCTGCACTTTGTGCAACATTTTAGGATTTTTTTTATCATAAAATCACAATGAAATGTAAAAAGACTGCAGGCATCATGCTACCAAAGAGCCAATTGAAGCATGGTTGCAATTATGTTGAATTATACAGCAGTAAGTACACTGGGTGTACTAATGATGCAGGAAATCTTCAAAGCCTCATTTGAAAGGTTCTTTAAAAAAAAAAAAAGACGTATTCACAGGGAAGAAGAGTGCACAATGTAACTAAGGGCAATCGGCATCTCACTCTGCTGTTACTGCTTGCTTCCATTTATGATCCCATTGTGTCCCAAAGGGCTGTGTCCCCATTCAAATTAAAATCACGAACCCACAGACCCCAAAAATCCTCACCGCATGATAAAGTCAGCCTGGTCAATCTCCTGCCCACACCTGCTGTTCCTGAGGATACCACCATTGCCAACCACAGCACACTTTTTAAGAGGAAAGTTCAGGGGGTTGCTCTGGAGGAGACAAGATATAGTTTTATTAGCCGACAAGAAAGCATTGATTCTCTCCAAAAGACAGACTTTAACATTGAGGTCATAATACAGCCTTGTGCTAATTTCCACCCAAGGCCCCGGGGTGCTGAAAGCCAAATCACCAAGGAGATATAAGGGGTGGAATGTTCTGAAAACAAGCTGGGGTCATGCAACTGATGAATCATACTCTGTTTCTTCTATCAGTTAAAAAGCCCAAGGAAGGAAGTTGATATTAGATGTGCAGAAATAATCTGATTATCACGCACAGATAGGAAATACCACAGATTAAATATGTCCTATGCCTTATAATTAACCAGCTGTTACAAAAGAGTTTATACACAAATGTACATTTTCAATAAATAATACAGATAAAAATAAATATATATATTTCTCATTTCAGATATAGATCATTTAGATTGTGAAAAACATGATAAGTTGGCAACAAGTTCTGGTTTACCACACAGACCTATCTGACAGAGCATTACATAGATATGGGAGACCCATAAAACCCATTAAACAATCAAGTTACGAAGTATCAAAGAAGAAGACAAAAAAAGTTAATGACAGAAGTATAATATATGTTTTAAATGGTAAAGCTGAACTTTGTGTTTCAAATTGTGTTTCACCCTGACTTCGAGTTAAAAGTTTGACTCTAGATTTAGACATAGAGAAATTATCGGAAAGTAACCAGCATTGCTATAAGAAGATCTCGTCCATGTCACTACGATAGACAACTGCATAGCCAGAGTTGAGTCTGCATGGTTGGTTAGCAACTTTGATCGTCTAAAAGGGTATTGGCAAGTGCCTCTGGCCAGAAGAGCTCCTGATATAGCCACTTTAGTAACTTTATCTGGTTTTTGGTTTGTAGTTGTACAAAGTAATGCCTCTTGGTTTAAAAAAAACAGCAACTACCTAAGTAGAAGAAGTTGTTTTGTTCGAGCAGGGGAAGCAAAAGTGGTGGCTATGAAGCAGTTCACAAAGCCAACCCCAACAAAGGCACGAATGTGTTTCCAAGGGGTGGCAGTATACTACCATTTTCTTCGGTAGAAAACTAACTTGTTAAAAGCCCTGGTTTAGCATTTCAGGTGTCTACTGTGTAAACAAAATAATTGTCTTATGATTAATTGTTGATTAATGGTTGATTTGACTAAAATTTGACCATCTGATTTATTGATAATGTTAATCTTACACGGAAAACACTGATATTAGCAAGAGAAATAATATCAGAGCTGAAGCATGCTCCGTTCTGGAATTATTTACAATGTTTAACGGTGACAACTATGCAGAATGCACATTATGTGGTTCTGTTTCAAATTATAAACCCTTGATAAAGTTATTATTCCAGCACCTAAATAGCGCTAATTTAGCTATGCTGCATGCCGGAGCAATATCATCTATTCTGGAAAGTAAGGATGTGATGAGTGTGAAAGTTAGGGCATCATACAAAACTTCTGTAACATAAGGGGGTAAGACATCGTGGAAATATTCACGATAATATGCATTATTGACTTGCTGTCAAAGCAAATGACTTTGTTTCAATGTAGTGGATATTAGCTGTGATATAGATCTCTGTTTCTAATGTAATAAAGCAGATTGCTGGAAGGAAATTGGTGCCATTATCTGCGCATAATGTAATTTGAGGGTTGTAGTTGCTCTTGGACGGAACTGTTTAAATAATATGAAAGGTGTTTATATCTCTGTACATTGGATATCAACTGTTTCACATCTTTTATTCCTGTTATTAATTCCTGTTTTGTTATATCTTATATATAAAATTTGAAAATGTTTAAAAATGCATGTTTTGTTTATTCGGTCAGAGTGTAATACAATCTGTTCAGCATATTAAAAAAGCCTTTATCACTTCATGTGATAAAAAGTTCCTCTTCATACAAGAGAAAACTTGTCTTTTTCTGATAATATAAACAATGAGTTACTATGAAAAGCCTTGATTGTGAATCATTAGCTTATCATCATGTGAACTCCACCTACAGTAGTTTAAAACAGCAGTGAGATATTGATTAAACATAAAAGTAGATGGTATGTCATGCTTCTGCAGCGATGACGTTAGAGCCAGTAATTCTGAGATGTAGTGGAAAGAACTACCCCCATTATTCTTCATAGAGTGAACATTCACGGTTTCATGTCTGCCTGGAACCTCAGCACAGTTCTTATAACAACAAAGGGCACAAAAACGGAAACCTTTTGATTAAGAAATAAGAACCAAACAAAAAACAATGTCTTAGAAAGATAAGCAGCATTATTTAAAGACATCCAAACAGATTAAAAAAAATAAAAAGAAGTATATTAATGATAAAACAAAAGGTTAAAGTTACAGAGTTTGTATGTAAACATCAGACCAATGTGATGAATATGGGTCTGATGTTTACAATCACATTAGTTTATCCCAGAGAAGAAAAAGATAATAAGAATCTACTTTTTGGACTACTAAGCCATATGTAAACGAGCGGTGTTTAAAATATATTGCTAACCAGTAATTACTTGCCATAATATGCCTAATATGCACATTCCCTGGCTTATCTCCTAATTCTCTAGCTGCTGCCAGTTCGGTGTAGCATAACCTTTTGTCTTTGTTAAGACATGCAACAACTGAGGAGGTAGTTCACTATATTTAGTGCATTGTTGGACTCGGAGCACATTTTGCCCCAGATAACTAACATTTCCCTTTTCCCCAAGAAACGCACTGCAGGCCACAAAGGTTTAACCAGGATATATATGTTTTGATCTGACCTTGGAGAAAATTTTAAAGTGCTGACAGCAATATATATATATATATCTATATATATATCTATATATATATAGATATATATACACACAAAATAACTGTACAGCAATGTCAATACCTACATTTTAAAATATTAATTTGACAGTTATTGCCAATTGGATGGATTTTAAATCACAAAAAATATATTGCGCTATTTTTAACCATCGAATGGTGGCTGGTCAATACAGGGCATTAGGGCGCCGCCCCACCCACCTAATGACCTTGATTAAGACATTAAAAAAAACAAATAAAATTTTATTATGAAATTTACATATTTCAAAATATATATATATTTTAGACGTGCAAGATGAATATTTAATCTTTTTTGGCCATTGTCTAGTTAAAATATGTGCATACGAAGAAGCTCTTCTGCAATGTGAAAGGATAGGAGATCTCGGGGCGCCGCCCTAATGTGCCCTGAGTTGACAGAAAGTGATGTCACAGCCATGATGCGGCTGATTGACAGGTCGAGTCGTGGAAGTTGGAGACGATTTGAAAGAGAGAGAGAAATGGCAAAAGAAAAATTTGGTTAAGTGAAACCCCTAAAGCAAACTTACCATAGAAGCTGGAAGCTAACTAGGCTAACTGCATGCAGCGGGGCCAATGCTTTATTATGCTATCTTGACTGCCTGACTCCTTTTTTAAATGTCAGGATCTGACCCAGCATGGATAAAGACAGGTAGGACTGATTTAAAGCACTTTTTAGAAAAGGCAAAAAATAAAATAAATCTGGGATTCACATGGAAAATAATATAACGTAGTGTACTTTTTCTAGGTATTTGTTAATTTACCTAGTTTCTCCTAAAAACAAACATTCTCAAATAAATTGTTTTTATATATTAAAGAGGATAAAGCTGACTAATAGCTTCTCCATTATTAAACTGGTGCATTATTTCTTTTTAGGTCTGTAAAACAATATTGGACCATGCAAAAGACAGATTTGCCTTCACAAAGCCTCAGAAGGGCAACATTTATATACAAAAAGTTAACCTGTTCATGAAATTATGTGTTTTAAAAAGTTTTTTGTTTTTGGCAGTTCTATAAATATACTTTGATTGGTTTTTGGTATACGTCTATTTTGAATTTATAGCCCCCCCTTGGAGAAAACTCCACCAGCCGCCACATCATCCAATATATATTTTTAAAGTTCACCATATCTGTTTTACTAAAATTGCTTTGTATGATCAATATAATCAACTCTAAATGATTTATTCTTTAGGAATTCTTACTTAAACTAAGCATTCCTGCCTTTTTAAAAAGCTTAATTAATGAAGGTATTTGTTAAAAGCATGTATTTTTTCTCCTTGCCTCATATCTTGAGGTGTTTAATTTATAGTCACTTTTATGAATATTAACAACTTCATCTGCAACACTACTTAGTACCATTAAAAGCTCAATTTTCTCACTCTTTAACTGCACTGTACCTGTCTTCCACCGTCAAGCATCATAACCTGTGTTCTCCTAATTGGTCCTCATCATCAGTTCTATATATTCTGTGTTGCGGTTTAACCTGCAGTGTTTTACCAGGTTTTCATGCTGCAACAACTTCTCACTGTTATTCCATAAACATCACAGGTCATGTTTTATCTCTTTGTGGATTCAAAATTAGTCCTTATTTGTTTGAGCAGCAAATCATACTGCTTTGCATTATATACAAAGACATTACCAGATGGAAGTAGTGCCCGATCACAAATGTGTATTTAGGCCATTTTGATACTACAGGTCTATGAATTTAAAAATATATTTTAGTACCTAAGGTTCTGGTATATTTGAGGTATATTTCAGGATCATTCCAAATTGTTTGCATTTGTTTAAGAGTGAGAAGTTACAAGTAGGTTGTGTGAGCCTGAGGACTTGATAAAATGCGTGTCACACTGTCAATGTGTGAAAATAGAGAACTGATTATGTAGGAACAATATGTACATGCTGTTTTTTCAAGTAAGATAGACATTTATTCTTTACTATCCAATACATTTCTGTGCCAAAAGAGAGGAACTGTTGAGAAACAGAAGAAGAAAAACAAGTAACAAGAGGGAAGTATATAGTGTGGGGAAGTGATTAGTGGAACAAGAGACAGGTGGGCTTATAATTAACAGAGAGAGCAGCTGAGAGGAAGCAGAGGGTGGACATAAAGGCAATCTAACAGGAATAACCACAACCAGAAAAGGCTTTATTGTCAAGTATTGGTTTTAGGGCTGAAACAATTAATTGGATTAATCTTGATTAATCTATTATTGAAATAATTTTCTATTAATTTAGTGATCTATTAATCGCTAACTGGAGTATAGAGACTGTAAAACATGCCTTTAGCTGACAGAGCGACCTACTTAGAGCAGTAAAATATATAAATATTTTGCATTTTAGACAATTTTTTTCATCTGTCAATATCCTCTATGCAGAACTCCTCAAGTGGGTCAATTTCATAAACAGTCTTCTTTAAGAAACCTTTGGCTATCCGATTATGAATCGATTCATCGAAAAAATAATCAACAGATTAATCGATTTGCAAATTAATTGTGAGTTGCAGCCCTATGTGTTTTATACATGCAAGGAATTAGATGAGGTGATAAGAGTACTTAAAACAAAGAGTACTTAATTAAATACAACTGGACTGATAAGACTAACAAGAAAAATAAAATTAGCTAAGCTTCTAATAAAAATTAAAAAGTATGCTTAACTTAACAGCAGAATGAACAAAAATAAAAAAGCATTATTGCATTGCCCTCGAAATATGTTTTTTAAAAGTGTAAAATCCCTGAATGTATTGTGAAGTGCTTTGATGTCCTAAGACTTGATAAAGCTGAATACAAGAACAGGCTTTTTAACATTAAGATGAAAGGAAAATTATAAGAAATCAAAATGCTACAATAACCATGAGTGCAAACCTTAAAGTAACTTTTTAAAATAAATAGAACATTTAGATATGTCATGTTGCCAGGTACTTAAAAGGAAAAAGAAATTGAGTATGGGCTGGAAACCCCAAGGTCAAAGTGGGAAACACCCCCAAAGATGATGTCAAGGGGTGAAGTCATAAGATAATTCTGTCAGGATGTAACCGCAGAGATAAAGACATTGCGTACTTTCTGACTCTCCGGGAAGATGGAATTAGATTTCCTGTGTTTACTGTATTTGGTCAAACAGTGGCTCATGCTGATTAAATTATGGCAATGACACTTTCTAATAACCCAGCAGGCTTGAGCACCTAAGAATGCTTTGTCATGGCTGCTTAGCAATCTAGACAGTGAATCAAGAATCACTGCCCATTCTTATATTTTAAAGTATGTTTTAAGCTCTAATTTTATACATCCATATATGGCTTGTGGCAAAAGTGTTATTTTCTATTTACTTATGATGCACCATTAAAAAATGCCCCTCACTTTGATTGCTATGTTTGGAGTTAAGTCTCTTGGATTTCTAATAATGTTTTATTTTTCTTTATTTTTTCCTCCTAAACAAGACAACCGATGTCATGGAAACCACATTTTTATTCAAAACCATATTATAACATTAATAAAAAAACAACAACAATATGTTAGTTTTTTTTTTTTTTTTTTTTTTAACCTGACCTTCAACTCCAAAGTCATGCAGTTAGACAGGGGTTTAAATCTCTGCATAATTCAGGTCAAGCTTTCAGATGTGAAAGGTTTTCAGAAGACTTGGGTTTAAAAATGTCCTAAGATCTTAAAGTTTACCCTCCATTTACGAACATGAAATTTAAATAGCGTAAAAAAACAAGTAAAAATGTTTCAAGTACTTATTAAAGACATGTGGGGAACCATGAAGAAGTTAAGAAAATCTGTAGTTAGGAAAACTGTAAACAAAGCAGATATCTATCCTTTATCATTTTCATCCCTTTATAAAGCACTTTAAAAATCAAAGTACTGTACAGGTACATACTATGGAATTAAAAATAATCATGATTATAAAAAGGCAAAAACCAAAATACAAAGTTGATAGAAGTAACAAAAAAATCAGCAATAAAAGGTGAAGAAGAGACAAAGGCTACGCTAAAGGTTATCTTGTCTGTTTAAAAGATTAGTTTTTAAAAAGGACCTTCAATTTATGTTAGAATAGCAACAGAAAAGTCATTATATAAAGAAAACTAGACATATACCGAGTTAAAGTAACCACCAACCATGGAGGAGATATAGCAAACATGAGAAAGGTGTGTTTATATTAGATGAGACCAAAATGTATTTTTTTTCCACTTAAAATAACCAACTAAGACTGGACATTACCCAGTTTGCCACTTTCTAACTGCATTCAGGTTTCTCATTCATTTACCCTCACCTCCTCCAGCTTGCATGACTGAACATTTGCTGCAAGCGACTTCAAATTAGGGTCAGATATTCATCACGTCCTCAATGTCAATTTTTTTCACGGTAGAGACTTGAAGCCTGTGAAACGGAACCACGTTTCCATTTTCTGCAATCAAGCTTCCTGTGGTTACATAGCGCATCAAAAAGAAAAACAAAAAAAACAACACACCCTGTTTTTTTCTGAACTGACATAAAGTCTTTCCCTGCCTTACGCCTAAACATGCAACTGAATGCATGCAAAGAAAAAGGATTGGGCTGTAAATACAAATTGATATTTTGCTCTAATATGTAGTAAAAACCCCAATGTGACAAAACTTAATGGAAAAGCACAAATGCAGATTTTTACATTAAAAAAATTTCAAAAAATCTGGCTGAATGTGTTTTTCCAATTAAAGCGTCTTCAGTTTGACGCCTTGGCTGCTTATCCACTCACTCCTTCTCAGCTTTATATTGACTCCCCCTCACACTGGGACAATGTGTGTAAGTAATCCTCTCCCCCTCAAAGGATGGTTGCCTTCTTCACTGACTCCTCCCTTTCTCCTTTATTATTTATTCCTGAGAAAACCCCCGTCTCATAGCAGCAGCCAGTGGGGGGATAATCACACTGCATTCCCCATCACTTAGGTGTTCACCATTAGTGCAATGATAAAGGATTGCTTTTGTGAAACTAGTGAGAAATTTTCACATCTAATCAGAACATGCATCTCTTAACAGACAAAAAATGTACCTGCACAAAAATAGAATATGTCTCGTTGTTGACGGTGTGCGAGTGGTAAAACTCTCCGTCGTACCACAGGACTTTGCCAATAGGAGAGTTCTCCTTCGTCAACGAAAACATCCACTTTGGATTGCAGCATTCTGTGAGCAGGGTTCTGTGCAGGAAATAGTACAAGGTTAGTCTAAAAAATAGGATTTCAACTTGTCCAAATGAGCTGCACAGACACAAGGTTGCAAATCAAAAAGGCGGTCGTCTTATAATAATCAAAAAAACCTAAAACAGAAGATTCCATAAAAATTCAAAAAAGATCCACCGGACTTGGTTTCCAAGATTTGAAGACGTTTCGCCACCTCTCCAGGAAGCTTTCTCAATTCAAAAATTCAATTCATTTTTGAATTGAGAAAGCAGACATTTTTTTTTTTTTTTTTTCATGTTGAGAAAATTATACCGGCAGAGCAGCAAAGCATATAAAGCAGATTGCTCACCCGGAAAGGGGCCTCTGTACATCTTTAAATAGATTTCCTGTGTGCAAAATATGGTTATAAAAAAAAAAAAAGTCCCATTGGAACAAATCAAGCTTTGATTTGGTCATATATAGTTAAATCCACAGTCATAGACACTTGTATGATTTGGGCAAGTTTTTTTGTTTTTTCTTTTTTTTCTTTTATCAATTTTTGTTTCCAGACTAAAAGTAAAATGAATATTTTTGAAGCGGCTCAGCCCAGAGTCCCTATTTGATTCTGATCAAATATTCTACAAATGAAGCTAAAGATGAGGATAATGGAAAGAAGACCTTTCAGCTACACATTAATTGGAAGTCTCTACCTAATATGTGCAAAAAGCAAGACAACAATTACAACGTTTTGATTGATGTTCTTCCAACAAACCATTCTGAAATGCAATGCTCTATGAAAGTTGAAAATAAAACTCTTCTTTTCAAAATGTATATTAACTTATATGATGTATTTCTAAAAAAAAAAAAAAAATGGCTGCTTAGTTAAGAAACACAATTTTACATCAAACTCACAATATTATGAATAATCTCAGGCCTAGCTGCAGTGGCGGTTTTAGACCAAATGTATCAGGGGGCCAAGAAGGGGCACAGCATGTTTTCATGGGGGCAAAGAAAAGCTTGACAAAAAAAAAAACGTGCAAAGGATTAAAATATAGTAAGATAGCTGCATGAGGTGACATTTCTATTAAATTGTTTAATTTAAATTCTATTTCTTATTAGGTCAATATACATTCATAATTTAGGAATTTTACATATTTTTGACTTAATTTAAGTTGAAATAAATAAAAAAAATCTATAAACTCTGTATTAGAGCATTTTTTTTATTTGTAAAAAAAAAAAAAAGATTTAGCAAATGGAAACTGGGATCCTATCTCAGTACCACTTAAGCTATCCCCTTTTTGTTTTTAAATAATTGCAAAAACAAAATTTGTAATGAAAACAAAAGGCACAGGCCCCTCTTGGCCCCTGTCTAGAACCACCCCTGCCTAGCTGTATAAATGCTTAATAGAGACTGTTCTATTATTCTAGTTGCATTTCATTCCCAGCAGCCAAATCTAATGAATGATAATAGAGATCTAAGGATGTTTCAGACGCATGTGCGCCTGGAGACCAACCTGTACAGATCGATGCCAGTCTGATTCTTCTGCCACACTTCCCCCAGCCCCAGCACCTCCTCCACAATCTCTTTGTCGCTCGGGAGTCTGTAAACGGGGTAAACGTAGAACCATCCGAGCACCAGCACGCACAGAGCGGCCCACGCCGACAGCTTGGCCCGGTAGCATCGCGCCAACATCTTCCTCCCAGTCTTCTATAGAAACAGCAGCAGCGAGGCGGTGCGAACCCCGCAAAAAGCGCAGAATCAGAGCCGCTCCTTGCCTCCAATCTCGGGTCAGAGCATTTTTAAGTGGGGTACAAGCTGCTCGGTGATCCGGTTGCTTGGTTTATGCATCTGACTGGAAACCCGGTTATGAATTAGATGAATTAGAATAAGTGAAGAAAAGGAAGGAGCCTGTCCCTGCGGCGCCCTGCTGGCGGTGCATCAGCACCATCACCCCAGGCTGGCTTATTGGGAGGAATCAGACGGACCTCCAAATCAAAGCCTTGGCGTATGCTGGTCCGCTCCGTATTTCGACCTTCAGCACTGAAAAGCGATCCTTTCTACGGGGTTCGAGGCTCTTTAAGGGCCCCTTGCCTAAATCAATGAAGGTGAGCTGCACAGATGCAGATTTCCCTTGTCAACACATACCCCTTTACCGAGACAGTAAAAAAGGAGGTGCGTTAAGATGGATGGGTTTAAGGCGAATGTTGCTTTCAAAATAAAAGCATGCGGTCAAACGCCCCGAGCATCTGGGCTGAAAACTCAGCTCAAACATCTTGTATAAATTGCGGAATGACAGTGATGGTGCTGGGATTGGGTGCCATATTTCCCATAATAAAAACCTCCACTGGCCAAAATCACCTCATAATTCTATTGATCTATTGACAGAAGCACATTCATTTCGGTACTTTATTTTTTCAGTTTTGTTGTTTTTTTACTTTTTTTTTTATATGAACATATAAGTATTTCATTTTCTCGGTTTCATTGTTTTCTACTTTGCTGTTTTTATAAATGCTCTAGAAATACTGTTGTAAGGCAAACAGAATGTTCTTAAATTCAATGGCTGGGTCGCAATTTCCCCATTATGCTCTTTGTAATAAAGATTTACACTCTCAGCTGAATTCATTCTTGGTAAAAAGAAATAAGTTGTTTTGTCTTTTTAACTAAAACATCCAGGCTATAGTACAATATTTTTAAACTTTGTGGGATATTGTTTTATTTCCTGGTGAAACTGAACCAGTGATTTGGGGCAAAAGGGTTGTTTAGCACAAAAACAACAAACCAGAAACAAAACAACAGCAAAAAGAAACACATACTCTCTCTGACGTGTCAGAGAGAGTATGTGTTTCTAATATTGTGCTATGAGGTTGTTTTTCTTGAGATATAATGCCTACGATGAAGGGGAATTAAATATTTATGTGATGCATTAAAATTTAATACATCACATTAAATTGTTGCATCGCTGACAATTTATTGAAATGGCAGCGAAGCAAATTAGCAGACCAAGGATTTCACCAGTAAAAACATGTGCTTTGCTGCAGGATAACCACAGTAACCCAACAGTTACCCAAAATATGTTCAGTTCCTACCAGGCAGTGTGTGTGTGCTCTTTCATCCTTTAGGAAACTTATATCATATTGCACTACCGCCATCTGCAGGCTTTATGTAGGCAACAACAACAACAGATAATACCTATAAAATTATTAAAATTAAAGGCATTTAATCATCTCTGTATAATCTGTGAATATTGTGGGCGTTGGTCTGAATATGATTATTATTAGACTGAATGTAATAAAATGCTTTTTTTGAGAAGCACCAACAACAAAAAAAAAAAAATAAATCAGAGAACGCCAGCCAGGCTTTCCCTTTGGATGTGTGTCTTGGACATTGATAGCTTCTCATACCTTCAATGTTCCCTTTGGCCTTTTCTCAGGGCACAACACTACAAAACACAATAAATAAAACAAACAAACAAACAACTGCATTCTTGACCGAGTCAAATACCAGAAACTTCTCCAAGTGAGGTGTAGAGAAATATGGGGCAGTTAGGGCTCCTAATGGAACCATGCTGGGATTAATAGAGGGCAAGAGTCAATGTTGGGAGGGTGGTGAAAGAGATGGCATGGCAGGCCACTTGTGTGAAGTCATGTCCAGCTGTTCTCTGTGGTCTGCAAACAGTTGTGTTACTATGGAGGACTGTGCAAAATAAGCTGAAAATGCTGGCAGTTACCAACTGTTTAACTTAAAAATAAAGTATTGATAAACAAATAAAATATAAAGTGAACAAGCTTTTATAAAAATACAGACCAACATAAAAATATAAGAAGGAATCATAACCTGACTGAATAGGAGTTAGTAATGAGCAAAAGATTCTTACCTATAGGGTGAAGCTAAATCCCTGACAGGTGTACCGATTAATACAAACTGAAAACTGCAGAATATTACAGATTAAACCAACTTTAAATCTGAAGACCATGACAGGATCCATAATTTTTTTTTTTTAATCCTTGGATAGTATTCAAATACAAATTCTGCAAGAAAATTAATTGATTCTATCTAAATTCAAACAGAAGGCTTGCAAGTCAAGAGCAAAAATGTTCAACATTTTTCCAAGATTTATCTTTTTTATTCAGCTCTGAAACACATGAAATACTCAAGGAAATTCCACTGTGATACTTTTGGGCAAGAAAAAGGAGAGATAATGTCTTAAAAGGTGCAGGTTAAATGAACAAAAGACTAAACTCATTCAAAAAAGTCCGAGAAGTGAGAATGGCATTGAGTGACAAGTGAGACCAATACAAAAAAGTATTGACAAGGTTTAACAAAAATTTCTAAAATGTGTAAAACAAATCCATACTGTAACAAAGGTTTTGTGTGGTAAACATGACAATCTAAGCAAAAAAAATAACAGAACAAAATAAAAATATGACATTAAAACACAAAGAATAACACCAATATTTTGTATAAAAACAAAAGACAGAGATTATAGGCCACCATTGAATATTGTCAGAATAAAGCATTCCTGAGGCTGACATGACTGGTTTGTTTGGAATGGATGGTACCAGATGTGAACAGGGCCAAGTAATGTAAAAAAAATAAAGATCAGGCTTAGTTATGCCATCTTATGGTCGCGGCTCAGAACAGGGAAATAAGGATTTAAGACTGACAGACAGTCGGATAATTCAAAAGCATTTATTTAAAAAACGATGGATCTGCCGTAAGAGCAAGGACGTGTAAGGCAGAAACCTCTACAGGAATGAAATACAGGTTAGGAACCACGTTAATCTGGTGGAGGAAGATTATGAATGTGTGAGTAACTAAGCTAGTCTTAAAGTTTAGTGCCCAGAGAACAAGGCTGATTCAGGCAAGACGTGATTGGTGCCGCCCAAAGAGTCCAAGATGCTGAAGACCCAGAGGATAGAGAACAAGCAGGAGATCAGATCCGGGCAGATCAAGGAAGACATGTCATTTCAGAGGGCAAAGCCAAAGCTGGGGACAAGGATGTGCTCAGGATACAGAACCAGGAGAGCAGAAGTCTGAAGAGGTTCCGAAGGGAAATACAGAACGGTGACAGGAAGCAGCTCCAAGTTCAGCAAACAGGCAAAAACAAGTCCAAAGGCAGGTCAGTCAAACAGATCAGATGGGAACAGGCAGGCTCAGTTGTTGAGATGCAGAACAGGTCAGGTTCAGGTAATCAGAAACAGTGAGGTAACGCTTAAACACTCTAAACACTCGCTCAAGAATAATAGCCTGATGACTGGAAGCGAATGTGTTAATACAGATCACACGGGAATAGGCAGGTTCAGTGGTTGAGAGGCAGAACACGTAATCAGAAACACTAAGGTAAAGCTGGCACACTCTCCCCACTGACTCAAGAATAATCTGGTACTGATGACTGGTAGCAGTTAGGTTAAATAGAAGCTGGAGCCTGTGGATAAGCTAAACGGTAATGAGAAAACGGTTAGAGCTAAGCAGGCGAAAGAAATGAGTAATCCAGGCAGTCATAACCACTAAGATCATGACACTTACCTGTCCTGTCAGTTTGATTGTTCAGCAAAAGGTTTATAACCTAATGACCATAATTCATGATTACAATGATAAAAGGAAAAAACTTTCAAGAAAAAAAAGTAGAGCTTTTGCGGTCTTCTGTTTAGGCACTTAAAATGGTTGTCAGCTGATAAATGAATCTACACCAATAAATGTTTTTTGGTTCAAAAGAATTAAGAAATGAACTATGCAGCGGATTATTTTGCAACTTAATCTTGCACTTTCTATAATAAATTTTTTTTTAGCAGAAGCCAATGTGAGTCCCTTTCCATATTTTGTTTTGATTGTTCTTTTTTCGTATTCTCCAAATGTTCCCAACCAGTTATAAGCAGCAACAATTGAAAGTGCACTAGAAACACCCTACCAATACTAAAGCCTTCTCCCTTTTTATTTTGAGAGGCTGTGTGTCTCTGTAGCGACAGTAGCAGGGTTGGGTTGCATCAGGAATAGCTCTCCCACCTGCTGAGGTTCACTGAATAACAGAGGATTTGTTGTTCCACGTAGCTTTTCTCCTTTTATTGGCCTTGGATGCATCCCTGGCTCTCATCTTATTTCTGTTTAAAGTGGCTGGCACCATGTAACCTTAAACTATCTGTAGCTCCAAAATAGGAACTTCAGCAATCTATGCTCATCTGTTATTGTACCATGCAAAGGAACATCACCTTAAATATTATATAAAAAGATGATAACAAAAACAACATAAATAAGCTTTTTCAAAAATAAATAAATGACCTAATGAGCTTGTTAACAAATACCTTTGTTCTCAGTATTTTCCTAACCCCTCTGTTTACGAAAGGTTTATCATAGCATCTCATGTTCCTCTAAGAAGGCTAATGCTCTGTTTATCAAAAACACCTTAGCGCTCACATCAGCTTTATTCTAGTTTGAGCTTCTGGAAAGATTAGAAACTTGATGCTCCGGGGTTAAGTGATTTACAAGAAGTGTCACAGCTCGGGTCAAGATTAGCACTCGTGCTTCAAAATCTTCACAATGCCATACCAAAGAACTGTTGAAAGTAGCTACAAATAGAAAAGAAATACTTATTATAGAACAAGCCATTTTTTTTTTTTTTTTTATAATGAGAGCACAGCTGGCAATTCTGGAGACTGTAAACGTTGAAAAGCTTTTGCTGCTTTTGCTAATTAACTCAAACCCTACGTTCTTGATTAAGGTTGAAGTCGTAGATTGTCTTGTACCTTGAGTTATTTTTTAACGTATTGAGTTGATGGAATTAACCAGTCAGAAAAGCAACATAAAGTGCAAACATGTCTAATCATAGAGCGAGTTACTGTATGAATGTATATTCATTTTTCTTTTATTAAATGCAATGTATCATAGAATTCACAGTGTATTTGTCGGTGAATAATCCATAGAGAAATCAATGCATCCTTCCATTCATCTAGGCTCAGAAGTAAATCCGCACAGAAAGACACTAACTTGGTTTCAAACCTAAGACCTTGCTGTTTGGCAACAGAGCTTAGAAAATAGTCAAAGTCATTAGTCTTTATATCTTATGAAAACAAAAAAAAGTAACTTTATTTAAAAATAAAGATGGGAAATATTAATCCCAAACAGTTATAATTACATTAAACTATTAAACACCTTGTGAACAAAAATAAAATGACTGCTTCAGCTTC